TGTGAGAGAGGGGATGAGAGTGTGATGATGAATGAGGGGAGTGAGAGTGTGATTCTGAGAGAGGGGATGATGATAAATGAGACGGGTGAGAGTGTGATGATGAATGAGGGGAGTGAGAGTGTGATTCTGAGAGAGGGGATGAGAGTGTGATGATGAATGAGGGGAGTGAGAGTGTGATTCTGAGAGAGGGGATGAGAGTGTGATGATGAATGAGGGGAGTGAGAGTGTGATTCTGAGAGAGGGGATGANATTTCCACTCATTTTAATATTTCCACTCATTCGACTATTTTCACTCCTCCTATTGTTGACGTTGAAGGTTTTCTAGACACATGCTGCAATGTTAAAGTGTTGAAAGTTAGCGCGGCTAAATACGTTGGAAAGTTAACAACTAAAACGCGCTAATATTGATCGACTAACGTAAAGGCAGTGTCCAAATTTCGTCGATGAGACTGCATTAAAAGGTGATAGGTAAATAAAGTTGCCTAAAGAACTAAATGTCAATTTATCTGCGCTCGTTGTTGATTAAATGCAGTTCTCGTGAACAACCTGGACCGGTGCACATCTGTTGGTTGATCCACACTCCACACAAACTGTTGGGATTGACCGCTGGTCAAACTAAAAAATAAGGCACTCATACATTGCCTGTAGGAAGTGTGTGCTTGCACACAAACAGCATCGTACTTCCTGCTTAGTAGAGCACTTAGACGGCATCGCACTTCCTGCTTCGTAGAGTAGGATGCGGTAGAAAGTGCAATAAATGTGATATAACAATAATTAACCAAATGAATTTCCTCTTGAATTTCAATTTCCTTTGTATTTTTTTCTTCTTCATCTCACCCTTAGCACGAACTTTTAAACCTCGCCTCTCCTTTAATGTCGCTTCCACCTGGCTTGGTCTCCCTTTCTCCTTCCTAAGTTCCTACTAACAAAAGAATATGTGATGCGTGGCTGATGGCCGTTGTAAGGCCTGACTCCGGAATGTTCTTTTTCAGAGTCACCACGTCCCAAATCCAAATCCAAGCACCTGTTCCATATAAATTTCATTTTAGTTAGCAGTATCAAGGAGAAGTTTTCTCTTTTCGATCATAGAAAATATGAAAATTTATTCTAGGGTAAACTCTTTTTTTCGTGTTCCTATATTGGTTCGTGGGACTGCTCTGGTGTTCGGAGTAAACCAAAGGATTATTCTGTAATGAAAGAAATTAATATAAGTCTTATGGAATAGCGGGAGAAAAGGATGAAAGTTAACACAAGAAGCAAATGTGATGATGGAAATGAATGAATGGCAGAGCATAAACGGAATGAAAAGCGATGGATAAGGAGATGTTTGGTGTTGCAAGACGACTAAGTTTGCCCCTCACTCCCTTACCTCCCCACCACCACTCACCCCATCACCACTCACCCCACCACCACTCACCCCCACCCTCACTCGCCCCACCACCACTCACCCCACCACCACTCACCCCACCACCACTCATCGTCACCCCACCATCCCGCAATGCTGTTGTTTGCTCATTAGCAAATGCAGCGCCTCAATAAATTCAACAAATTCCACTTTTTCAATGAAATGTCAAGCGAGAAATTGTGGACGCTGCTGCCGCGGTGACGCGGTGCGCCGCTGTTGTGATGGCGAGCAAAGCCTGGCTTAAATACAAGACCATTTCAGGCCCAGCTTGCCTTACCAAATATTATTATATCTTATCGCCGTAAATTATTTTATTATTTTATCATATATTAATTTCTTTCATTACCGAACCCTCATGGACAATTTAGGAACAACAATGTCTCCCCTAAGAAAATTTTTTTTATGAGCATCCTAGAAAACTTTCCTTCCTGCATTTATATCGCCTACTGAAATAAAATGAATAATTCATGTGATTGCCCACCGTTGTCCGTTGAGAAATGGTCTTCGTTGGAAATAGGACACATGGAGAAGACGCCAATGCCTCATTAAATTTCATTAAACTTCCAAATTACGAGTTTCTTAGAATCCTAGTTCGGACCTGTATTGAAAATACATTTATTATTGAAGAGTGGAATGAATTAAGCAGAATCATCGCAAAGAATGTAGTGTATATTTTGATAATATCTTTTTTTTGTGTAGCAATACAACTGAATGAGGTGTTTTGGTTGAAAAAATTGAGTTTCCTAAAAAATTGCAATCTAAATTATTTCCTTTTATCCATTGTGAATCATTTTGCGACTTATTTTGTCTCAGAAAATGGATTTACTTATCCTAAGAAGCTGCCAAGCCAGCCAAGTTATGCTAAAATTCTAATCTTAATCTGCTCCCAAAATATGGGTAGATGTGTGGCTACAGTTAACACGTTCTAAATATAAATTTTTAGATCGTCATCCTAATACGAACTGCATAGGATTGAAAAATAACTACTTTTCATTAAACACGTGAATTCTCAATCACGTAATTACAGAGAATTGGAAATTTCGCTGCTCAAATGACATATATTTTGCTTCAATCAAATATTTCGTGGCTCACAAAACGTTTCTGCAAGAAAATTTGAAATTCGGCATTTCAGTGCCGAGCTCTGGCCCAAAATTAGTACTACGAAATAGGATGAAAACTCGATCAGCTCCCTTTGTAAACAACTGTTCCGTGCCCATCGTTTGCACTCCCGGAAATTTCTTGCTGATCAAATCATGCGCTTTCGAATAAAGTGTAAATTTACCTAATGACATTTCTCTATCTTCAAGTCCAGTTCGTTTTGATATGAAAATCACGAGAGGTTAGCATACGTTGATGTGAGATTTCATTTCGTTATAATTTTAGAGTTTATAAGTTCTATATTATGTCAGATATTTCGGTGGCTCATGAATTATTTAGTGAGCTCTAAATTTGCGAGTGCAACGCGTTTTCGTGCCCAGTTTACCGCCCGTAGCTCTTCTTTCGAATCGAAACGGATTTTCACGAGGGCAAAATTTAACATTGGCACGACGGTAATTAATTCGACGGTCAATTTCTGTGGTGCTTGAAGATTTGAGTGAAATAAAAGAAATAATTAGTGTAAATCAGTGGTATCCTTGACGACTCACTAATTATTATATTGAGGTCTTTTGGAGTCAGATCAAGCAGAAGAGTTTTAACTCGTTGTGAATACTGGGATTGCAAACTGAGTCGGGCAGATGCTGCGCAGCAATACTCAGATTCAACAATGTATGTGCATGAACTGAAAGAAAGTATGAGGGAAATTTTGCTTGCAAATGCAGGTGTTGAGGTGTACGGTGTTGTGACATCGGCCAAATGTAAGTGATTTAAGTGTATTAGGAACAAATCCCGTGTGTAGCAAAAATGATTATTTTTACTACACACGGTGATTATCATATTAAATATTATATCATCATAATATGATACGATAATAATGATAATCATTGATTATCATATCAATGATTATTTTCGCTACACACGCTGAAAATATGCAATGTCAGGAACCTCACGCGCCAACAAATGCCGAGGTGTTACGAGTGTTAAATGCTAAAACGCAGTTCAACTTTTTCCGTTATCTTAAAATGAACATATTTGCTACACACTTGAATCCCGCAGGGTTCAAGTGTGCTACGACTTGTTGTTGTTTCGTGAACTGGAGGACGATTGGCCGCCACAATGTCTGACATTTCAATAATAGCACCTAAGCAAACGCTTAGCAAAACACAGGTATCATCCCCGAATCAACAACACTATCACTTGAACCGGTTACAAGAGAGTGACTTGTTAAGCCGGACCATAGACATGTGGTGCTCACTGTTCTGCGAGTACTTCGGCCAGACGATCGAAGGTGACTGCCGAGTGCCCGCTGCTCAGTAAGGACTTTGCTGCCTAACACTTTGCCACAGTCAGCACTTTGGCTGGCTGTGGCGCAGGGCAGAGTCAGCACTTTGGCTGGCTGTGGCGCAGGGCAGAGTCAGCACTTTGGCTGGCTGTGGCGCAGGGCAGAGTCAGCACTTTGGCTGGCGGAGTCAGCAGTTGGCTCAGGATTGCCTGTTCATTAATGCCACAGTTCGGTAAGAAGGCAACGAGTTTGAGGACGCTTCACCAAACTGACAACGTCTGCTCAAGACTTCACTTGCAAAAAGGTTAGGGAAAGAACGTTAGAAGATTTGGGTAATATCGGCTAATGCAAAATTTGCTCTCTGTTTTGCAGATAGGGCAGGTCAAAAAATAAAATGGGGTGAAAAAGAAACTCCTTATATTTATTACACTACTTTATTTTCCTTTATATAAATTCAATGCATACAGCCTAAGCAAGATTCAATGTGGCCTTTCTAAAATTTCTATCCTTCAGTCTGACAACTGAAACTTTAGGCTTGGGACAAGCGTCCGACGAGGACTGCGACGGCAGCTCAACAGGGCGGCAAATGTCTGATCCCCGGACAGGGGCTCCAGGCCAACAAGTACAACGCAACGACGCACCATGCATGAATACTAATGATATAACTGACTTACTAAACTGTACACAAGGAAAAGCAAGTCACGGAGGGTGAGATAAGCACAAAAAACATGTGGGGAGCAATGTTTACGTAGGGATGTCGGGCACATGAATGGCTCACAATACAGGAACCAACGAGCTCTTGCCACCAACACAAATTAAACAAATGTCATTAAACATTATTACATAGCTCATCACGATTATGTATGCTGTACAAAAAGTGAACATCCGCTGTCGTTCATAGCTTATGATCCTGACCGATATTACGGAGCCAACGACCGATCCCACTAACCTGTGTGAACTGATGACGTTACACTGAATGCGTGGTTCACACACACTCATTATAACGTCAATTAATGACGTTACGCTGAATGCGTGTTTCATTTACACTAATAACGGCTTCAAGTAAAGACGTTTCTCAGAGCGTGTGCTTTATTTCCATTCATTAGCTAAATAGGGCCGATACTTGAACAGAATAGTTATGTCTGGCCTTTTTCTGAACACTTGATAAAGACATAGTGATACGTTTCCAAGTTTCGAATATTGATGTACATAGCTCATCACGATTATGTATGCTGTACAAAAAGTGAACATCCGCTGTCGTTCATAGCTTATGATCCTGCGCGATATTACGGAGCCAACGACCGATCCCACTAACCTGTGTGAACTGATGACGTTACACTGAATGCGTGGTTCACACACACTCATTATAACGTCAATTAATGACGTTACGCTGAATGCGTGTTTCATTTACACTAATAACGGCTTCAAGTAAAGACGTTTCTCAGAGCGTGTGCTTTATTTCCATTCATTAGCTAAATAGGGCCGATACTTGAACAGAATAGTTATGTCTGGCCTTTTTCTGAACACTTGATAAAGACATAGTGATACGTTTCCAAGTTTCGAATATTGATGTCCGAGTTTTCCAAGCCATCGCAGATGATCGGCATATCTTCTTTTTATACCAATGTGGTCTGACAGAATGGTGCCGATGGGCAATCTCTCTATTACACTTGCGCTTTCATTAAATTTGTTGTCGAATAATAATTGTAAGTAATAACCAAACATAATTGCGCCTCTCAAGGGACCGTCTGCATGTGGTTTTACAACATCCTTAGATCTTATTAAGTAACGCAATACTTCACCGAAATTGTCACGATCAGGTTCTTCAATATGAGGCTCACTTTTAACACTACTTATATTCTTCTTCAGCCATGCATTAATAGATAATGGATGGGTCCTTGTTATGTTTTTCTTTGCTTGTAACACTTGACTCTCGTAGAGTCCAGGCATTGAGTGTTTGTTGGCCTGCAGCCTGCAGCGGGACGCCCTAGTGCGGCCAGCAGCGCCTGCTGGTGCCGGTGCTGACACATCAGCATCTCTCTGACGATAAAATTACATCGCTTACATCAAAGTAAAACACTCCTCTATCTTTATAAGCCAGGTCACTACCTTAATATCAAGTTCAGTACACAGCAAAGTCAGGAATTTTTCTCAACAGGATGAGAAAATTAAAACGTTCCCTATTAATAAATGTTGAAACTAAATTTGTATAAGAGTTCTGATTTGTTCAATGGTCACTCCGCATTTCATTGGCCACAGCAAAGAACGAGTTAATTAGCCACAGCAAAGAACGAGTTAATTGGCCACAGCAAGAACGAGTTAATTGGCCACAGCAAGAACCTGTTAATTGGCCACAGCAAAGAACGAGTTAATTGGCCACAGCAAAGAACAAGTTAATTAGCCACAGCAAAGAGCGAGTTAATTGGCAACAGCAAAGAACGAGTTAATTGGCCACAGCAAAGAACCATTCAAAGGGTGACAGCAAAGAACGAAGTTACAATTCCAGGTTCTATGCTCTTCATACGGCAACTCGTGGCCGACGCCGTAGAGCAAATGTGTACTCAAGTAGAGCTGGAGGCTTGCATTTTACAAATTTTCTAATTTACGAGCTGATAATTAAGAAGTCTTTCGCTATTATATTAGAGCTACATTATGAAATATATGCATTATACAAATTTGATAGTCACGTTTAAGAAATGTTTCCCATAATTACAGAACTTAACCAAAAACTGGAACATTAAAATTTAAAATCAACAGTTAAATGAAAATACAATGATTAGGCATATGTACCGAAGTAGATCTTCCATCTTGTTTCAAGACTGGTTCAGCCTGTGTCTCTGGGTATGAATTTCTTTTACCATTTTGGCTGCCAATACTTCGAATAACAATGGGAACACAATGCGTGATGCAAGAACCGTCTGTCACCATCGTAAAGAGTGAATGTAGCATGAAATTCTTTGCAGGTGCCAAACGATGCGTATTTTAAGAGTTAGGTTTGAATTGTCTGCATGTCAGGTCGAGAAAGGTTAAGATGGAATAAGCGCTTTTAGAAAGTCAGGCAATCCAAATTCTTATAAGAAATATGCAGTGTTGTGCAGTTGAACCATTCCATCTCCAGGTACCATTAATGTCATTGGTGTGGAGATAAAGGGGACCTCATATTTAATGTATAAGGCGCATGGATATAACCTCATTAAACAAAATAGGTTAGAGGGGCTAACACTGGACATGAACCAGACTGAGCAACAGGGCAACGCGTCCTGTGAGGAGCAAGAGAGGGCGACACAAACCTCAGCTTTGACTTCCGTCTTGACGGTCCAACAAGATGAGGAGGCAGCCGCTGCCTGGTCTGCAGTAGCAGAACTGAGGTGTTGGCTGGAACAAGCCTAGGGTAAAAAGAGCGATAGTTGATGTGATTAGTGGTGATGTATACAGTGAGGGATAGTTGATGTGGTTAATCTTGAAATGGGGTAAAAAGGAACACTTGAAATAAAAATCAATTTCAAACATTTGAAGCATGCAGTGTACTCATCTATTACTAACAGTACTCTGAAGTCCCGCTCTTTCATTGTAGATGATGTATATGTAAAATAAATGACATTTTCTGTGATTTTTACTTGTTTTTCCTTTATTGATTTGATATTACCATATTCATTAATTACCGTATTATTAATGTGATATTACTATATCCATGGACATGCCATTGAGCATTGACAACGACCTTGTCCACTGCAAGCTTCATATCAGCAGCCACGTAGTATTTCTTCTGTATCTGTAAGCTTACAGGATGGTTTGTATATTCGCACAATTTTAATCGAGTCTAGTGATTTCACTATAACAAAAAAGATCGTGAAAAACATACCTGAAACAGAAAATAATGCTTTAGTGACAACCATCATATGTTTTGAATAAATTAATCATAGTTTAGGTCAAATACTTTTCATTCTATGATGCCCGGTGCACAATTCTATTTATAGCATTTTATGTACAATTTTGTGACGACCGATGATGCACTAATTTTTCGATAAGTGAATTTTTTTCGCCAAGCGAGGTAAATGTAATCAAAATTTTTTGTTGTTAATCAATTTTTTTGTTAACTGGAGTCTTTGCTAACTGAGGTTCTACTGTAAATGCATTTTTAAGGATGTCCCTAATTACCCTGTGGGGGGGGGGTGTCCCTTTTTACCCCATCGTGCGGAAATGGCTGCCATTTTTTTTAATGAGAACGTTTTTCATTTCATTCACGGTCATTTTTTTGAACGTTTTCAAGCCGACACATGGGTGCAAATTTTATGTAAGTAAAATTTTTCACAACGGCAAATATTTTTGGTTTCTTTTTGCTCCAGACCATAGCAGAGGTACTTTTCCAAAATCGCACTTTTCACACTTTTTTTCAGCGATTTTTTAGAGATAGTAAATGTCAGATTTCTTGACTAGCTTTATACAGAATAGATAGTAAAAATGTTGAAGTTTACGCCACTATTTTTAGTTTTGCAATATTTTGATTAGTTTAGCTGCTACAACATTTCTACAAAATGTGGGACGCGCGTCCCTATTTACCCCACCCGTCCCTTTTAACCCCGTTTGATGGTACTCATCCATTGCTAACAGTACTCTGAAGTCCTCCTCATCCTTTGTAGATGATGTAGATGTAGAATAAATGATATTTTCTGTGATTATTACTTGTTTTTCCTTTATTGATATGATATTAGCATATCCATACATTATCATATTATTGATTTGATATTACCTAATTCATGGACATGCCATTGAGCATTGACAACAACCTTGTCCACTGCAAGCTTCATATCAGCAGCCATGTAGCATTTCTTCTGTAGGTAATCTTACAGGATGGCTTGTTATTCTGCACCATTTAAATTGAGTCAAGTGAATTCACTATAACAAAAAAAGATTGTAAAAAACATACCTGAAAAACAAAGGAATATTTTAGTGACAACCATCATATTTTTTGAGAAAAAAGTCATAGTTTAGGTTAATTACTTTTCATTCTATGTTGCCTGGTGCACAATTGCATCTATGACATTCTTTGCACAGTTTGGTGATGGCCAATGATGCACTAATTTTTTTGTCAAGTGAAATTTTTTTGCTGAGTGAAAATAATCAAAATTTTTTGTTTTTAATTGATTTTTTTGTTAACTGGAGCCTTTGCTAACCAAGGATCTACCATAAATGAGTTTTTAGGAGTGTCCCTTATTACCCCAGGGGGGTGTCCCTTATTACCCCGTCGTGCGGAAATGACCGCCATTTTTTTCTGGAATGAGATGGGTACTCAATTCTGTCAATCACATTTTTAAGCCAACACATGTGTGCAACTTTTATATAAGTAAAATTTTTTAATACAGTTAATATTTTTTTTTGCTACAGACCTTAGCAGAGGTACTTTTCCAAAATCTCCCTTTTCACACTTTATTCAAGGATTTTTAGAGGTAGTAAATGTACAATTTCCCAACTTGCTTTATGCTACATAGATAGGAAAAATGTTGAATTTTATGCCACTATTTTTTGTTTTGCAATATTTCAATTAGTTTAGCTGCTACAATATTTCTATGAAATGTTGGAGGACTGTCCCTTATTGCCCTTCCCGTCCCTTATTACCCTGTTTGACAGTAAAGTATTACCAAATTAGGTAATATCAAATCAGGTGCTCAATCTAATTTTTTTTTGTTTCCCCATCAGCAAAATTTTCAGCTGCTTGCCTTTTTCACCTTTTCAGAAATCATTGTGAAGAAATGTTCATACTTTAAAATGAATTGCCATTTTCACTTAATATACCTGATCTCCATATAGGAGTGATTCCTCCTTCACAGTTACATCGGCATCCTCATCTCTAGGTTCCTCCTTGATGTGGATTTCAGAAACTTGCATGGCTGGAGCAGGGACAGGCACTTCCGAGGCTGGAAAACAAGTATCATTTTTTATTTATCACTCAACAAGCAAGTCTTGGCAATTTTTTTGAAAAACAGATAGAGATGGCTTGGACTCCTTTCTTAATGATTAGTAGAAAGCATACAGGGCTAGACAAAATATGTGGAAAATACTGGAAAAATTCTAAAATTCAAAGTTATCTCATTAGGATGTACTGACATGAACATGTTACACAAGAGATGCCGACCCTCAGACTTGACTTTGATGTCACAAGCGGGCACTTGGGGGAGGCAGCGCTCATGGCGTTCACTCCTGATATCAGAGAGTCAGTGCAGCACAACATAACATTTTTTGGTACTGGACGCCATTGGATCAAACTTGATGATTGAGTGAATATTTGTCTTTTGAAGTACCTACCAATAGTGATTTTTGTGTTCTGTTATTCAATAAGGGTTGGAAAGTGCAAATATGCTACAGGGCATTTACAAGTGATCAGACAATAGCTCATGAACAAGTTCCTTCACTGATTTTAGTCCTTTCAGTTGAACATTAATACATTAACCTATGTTAGATTTATATTAAGGAAAAAGCCACAAAATAAAATAAACACCTGGTGGACAAGAATGGCTATACGGTGAGGGGAGTTTGGAGGCTGTCATTTCTTATTAGCCTTAAAAATTTTTGAAGAATCTATTGCACCTTCTATCTTTGTTAAACAAGTGAGACCATCAATTATCATGCTTAGACTTTTGTACAACAGTGATGCAAAATCATCTAAGGAAATATCAAGTGATACAAGAATAAATAAATAGTGAATGCTAAGAATCAAGGAGCTCAAACAAAGAACCAAACAAGTAATTAAGACAAATGTGTAAATATAGTTATAGTACTTTTAGAATCATTCTTCCAAATTCATAAAACTCTCACTTAATATTCTATGAATATTTTTATTCTCACAGTCTCACCTAATATTTTGCAGCATGAGGCTTTGAGAAAAATATCATGAAAATATTAATATACTTTTCATCAATTATCTTTGGCGGGACAAACTCTCTTTATTGTTCATAGATGTTGATGAGCATGGGAATACATGAGCATTAAAATTGTAGAAATAATAGCATATGGCTTGGATAAGAAAGAGGTTGCAAAGCTTCCAAAAACCCACAGGTCTAGTGAATAACCACACATACTCTCATTACCTTGCCATACCAGTACAGTTAGTATGGCAAAAAAAAATCAAAATCATTTCTCAGTTTTTAGAAAAATCTAAAACTGAGAAATGATCTAAGAATGGAAATCTGAATATATTTGGTTGAAAAAAAAAAAAAATCTTTTATAGCGCAAATTTTATCCATGTTTAGAAATTTTTATAACATTACATTTAACCTTAAACATTTCAATAATACTGTATCAATCAGGCGAGAGAAACCTTGACATTTTACTGAAAAATTACAGTAGCTAAGTTGAATATTAAAGGTAAAGGGGAAAAAAGCCAGCTAAATCTTGCACTAGTAAAAGTTTGAAGATAAAACTTTCCACAGCATAAATCAATTTTACATAGGGTCTTTGCAATGAAATTATATTGTTGCACATGTTCTGTTGCAAGATGATAAAATAAAATTAGAAATTAGGCAGTTAAATCTTCTTTGAAAGTTTGAATCAGTTTAATAGGACTTCAATAAGACAGCTCAATATTTGCAGACCTGCATGATTGTTGAACTAAAACAACTTATTAGAAATTCTAACCCTGCATCTTTCAAAAAACATCAATACATTTTATACCTGCAACAGATAATCAAGAGGCAGGCAATAAAGCTGGGCAGAAGCCATCTGAAGATAAATGAAATCACCCATGCTCATTGACAGTATGACTTGTACTTGTGCTTGCTGTGTTAGTTGTGTTTTTTTTCTTTCCTTATCATTTTCTAAATTTATCTACTAAAATTAATTTCCATGTATTTCCAGATGTATTTTACTAGCTGATGATGGGCATAGCCCGAAACGTTCTGTTTTGTTTGTCTAGGACATCTATTCAGTAAAATGTTTTATGCAACTTTTTTAGTTTTAGCCTTTATTCTTAAACTTAGAAGAACTCCTTGAGATATTGTGCACTAGAATATATGTTTATATGCTCTGTTTTTAGCATATTCAAATAAATGAGCTAGATAATGATGATGTTTTTCCCAGAAGAACAACATGTTATATCATTATATGTACATTGTACAAATTAATAAAAGCTTGAATGAAATAACCACCTAAAGCATAAACAAGTTTCGATATCGTTACTTACGATCACGATGACCTCTTCTTCCCTTCTTAAGTTTCCTTACTAATGAACTCACCGCTTCGCGTCAGATCCGTAAATATTGTCTTTGTATAAGTTACTGAAGGTCTAGAATTTATTTACAATACAGCTTCCGCTGTAAACAATACTTCCGAGAAGTTCATACGCTCTGCCGGAAATTTTATCCGCTCACGTCGGTCGCATTTAAACAAAATAAGTAATCTCTGATTATGCATTTTCTGGCTTTCAATCCAATGAATAGTCATGAAAAAATCACGAAAATCCGACATTTGTGAAAGCATTGCACGCAGAAGCTCCTCGGATCAGGCGTGAATTGAAGCGCCCGGCATTTCAGCGCCCGTGCCTCATTTTAGATTTTTTCCAGGCTTTGTGTATGAAGATAATAAATCTCCAACCCTGAGCACAACTAGCATTTTGGTTGATGCACTTCGCTTCACTTTAGGCTACCTTGCTTCTCCTGGCACTTTACATTGAAATCCAGCACTTCCACCCGATGGTGTGGCAGTACCTGGTGAAAAGAAAACAGTGGAATACAGCTCTGATCCACATTTACAATGTGGTCACTATATTGCAGTTCAGCAAATATTGACCAAGATGACAGAGGGCAGCAGTACGGTTCCTCACTGGGGCGTCATCAACGCCCAGAGCTGAGGTCAGCTAACTGAGAGGCGAGAGACCTTCCAGTCCAGAGCGGAAACCCTTTCGTGGGTCGTTTATGGTCTATGTTTAGGACAGTAAGGATGGCTGATTGTGACTTGAATGTAGAGTACTTGACAGTGACTTGAATTATCTAGTTAAATCTGGCCAAAGTTCAACGTTGACTGCATGCCCCCAGACGCGAAGGTGACACAAAGCATTCAATTAAGAGTGGAAGCGATCCATACTACACAAAGGCAATCATGGTTTCAATCTTCACTGGTAGGTCTCCTCACCTGTTTTTAGCACCTCCGCTGACCAATGGCGTGCCCATTCTTAAACAACGAAAGATTTTTTTTTAAATCCACTCCTACAGTATAAAATTGTTGAATGGTTGTATGAATGTGCCATAAGTGTTTTCCTGTCTGCCTCCTCATTACCGTGGATAACATTGTGGTCTCGTATACAGCGAAGCACCACCTTTTCAAGACCCTTGACAACATCAACCAACTTTCGTATCTCAAAGGTAATTCTGCGATATGAGCATCGAGATATTTTGTGAATGGAATTAAATTGAAACAGGCTCGTCTTTCAGAGATTCATTATCAGTGGCCAGCTGCATAACCTTGTAAAGACGACCTCTACGGTAGCATTAATTTGGCGGTCACCTTTCTTTTCCAGTAACCCATAACGTTCGATATGACGCTTCGCAGGATGATTAACATATACGTCTATCCACATTTATTAACCATACCGCAAACGATTTCTGAAAAAAAAAATAAAAGAACAAATGTACAACAACAATGAAGAACTAGTGATTCAACTTTACAATAATTCAAAATAAGCATTCAAATTTCCAATTAATAGATCCTTACCAAACAGTTCGGGCACCATGCCGTCGCACCAGTCGCAAGCCATGAATAACACAAAACGATCTTTTAATCCGAACTTGCCTACTTCTTTAGAGTAATTTTCAGTAAACGGTTTTGAATAGAGACAAACTAAAATGTGCGGATGCACCTTGTGTGTGGCAAACTATTCAGCTCCAAGAGCAGTGTGTTTCCGTCGAAGCAACAAGCCTGTTGCCTTAGGGTACGGCCAGACTTAAAAGTGAGAAAGCTGAAGCGCGCGGAAGCTTGGAGCGCGCTGGCACGTGTAGTTGGCCAGTCGCGCGACCAGTCAGGTGGCGCGCGACCAGTCAGCGACCAGTCAGGTGGCGCGCGACCAGTCGCGCGACCTGTCAGGTGGTTGGCCAGGTGGCGCGACCAGTCAAAGAAAATTTAGACAAGTCAAAGAAAATTTTCAACAATCGCCTACCAAGAGCCCGGCGATGCGTTGAGCGCGCGTTTTTCATTATAAAATAGAATAGAAGTGTCGACACTGAAGAAATTGGCCCATGGCCTGTTCGATTCTTGTAATTTCGTGACTTGATTCACAAGGGGTCCGGCCTTTGGAACCCGATCTTTCCATAACTGACGATTGATTGAGATAGCTGCTGGACTTATTGTCAGGTCCGTAAGTTGCTAGGCATTTTAAGACTGAACATATGCTCCTGCATAGCTTTGTCTAGTCTCTTCTTAAAGGCGTTCATACTCGGATCGTCAACGATGCTATTATGACCGCAAAGTCTAGATTACTAACGAAGTCTATCGAAACAAGTGTTAAACATGAAACAGTAATTGTAAAAGCCATTTGTGCTTTACACGATATGATCCTAGCTCGAGAAGGTATCGACACTGAAGCAGCAACAGGTGTCGAGGATCACGGTGAAATAATAAATACCAGAACACCAACTGCTGAAAAAAATAGCCCGAGGTATGCTATCAATGTTCGTAACACTCTGACTACTTAATTTACTTCTCTGTTGGGATTATATTGGTGTATCTGGCATCTGGGCTCAGTCACCCTCCTAACTTTGTACGGAGAGGTGCGCTACAAGTTGCTGCTAGCATCCTTGAGTGGACTAAGCTACAGAAGCATGTAGTTTGGTATCCATGCGACATTGAGTGCCTATTTCGAGGCGCGCGAGACTTTGTCGCGCCGTCCTGAAAAGTTCAACTTATTGTCACGGAAAACCTATCTCCTCCTACAGTTTTCATTCGATTTTTTACAGTTTTCATTCGAGTTAAATCATTCGATTCGTAAAGACTATATCTATCGACCTAGCCATCGCTTTTTTTGAATTTGAGCATGGTCGTCTTATATATGGGGGAGAAGGGGGGGAGGGGGTGAAAAAAGTGAAAAATGGAAAAAACGCGCATAAAAAAAATATGGGGAAAATGAAAAAAAGCGATGGCTAGGTCGATAGATATGGTCTTTACAAATCGAATGATATGTGTCTGGATGTTGTAGGACGATATTTGTAGGAGGAGATAGATTTCCTATAGTACCCGTTTTTGTCCGTTTTCTATGAATATCACGTTTTCTATCAATTTTTTCGAAAAATTCATACGAGCAAAATGTTCTTATTTTTACATTTTGCGTATGTATGTGAAGTTTCATGATGATCGGATAATAACTGTAGAAGTTTTACCGGAGGGTAGTCGGTCCCTCCGGAAGGGAGTAGTAGCACGGCGTGGGAGTGAATGACCCAGCTTGCAGAGGCTTTCCCGAGCTCTGATGATGAAGGTGCGTCACTATAAACTCCCCAGTCAGAGAATCCAAACATGGATGTTACATGATGACCTGCAAGCATGTACAGATATCAGATATCACACTTAATGAACAGATATAAAAATCAAAGTTGCAGGGGTGCAATGTAGCTGTCAACTTTTGGAAATACTATTGTCGTGGTACGTCGGGCTCCTTTGATCTAACAAAGAGCAGGTTTTTGAACAGCTGCAAGATGGTTCGTTAAAGACTTCGAGATATCCCATAAAATTGTGGAGCCACCCTCAATCTTTTTTCTTATTATGACGTCACTCGTCACTCGTCAGATTAAGCGTACTATTTTCCAGATATCCTCATCTTCATGTTCTCAAATCTTTCACTTATTCCTGAATGCACACGACAAGCGTGTAGAAAATACCGTAAAACAACCTTTTTTGTCAAACCGAAGAAGCCCCAGCAGATGGCCGTGTACGCAGGCTCAAGCTGCAATACTTATTTGTCATGCCAAAGAAACCCCAGCAGATGGCCGTGTGCGAAGGTTCCAACTTCAATGCTTATTTGTCATACCAAAGAAACCACAGCAGATGGCCGTGTGCGAAGGTTCAAGCTGCAATACTTATTTGTCATGCCAAAGAAACCCAAGCAGATGGCCGTGTGCGAAGGTTACAACTGCAATACTTATTTGTCATACCAAAGAAACCCCAGCAGATGGCCGTGTGCGAAGGTTCCAACTGCAATACTTATTTGTCATACCAAAGAAACCCCAGCAGATGGCCGTGTGCGAAGGTTACAACTGCAATACTTATTTGTCATACAAAAGAAACCGCATTTTGCTTGCATTTAGTTGGCGTCACATTCTTGGCCCCACTGTTCGTGACAGTGAAAGAAATCAGGCACGCCTATTTTATATATTAGTTTTAGATGGAAAAGAAATTAATTATTTTCTTCAATCGTGCTGTTAATTGATATCAAAATTATATCACTGCTTATAATACATGCGGGTACCTTATTTTGTTTTTATTATTAAATAAATTTTAACATTTAAAAATATTACTATTTAATTTCCTCAAAATTGCAAAACCTCTATAACGACATAACAAGGCTCCTTCAGTCTGCACCTGCCCTTCCATTAATTTATTCACTAATTTAAAAGAATTCAAGAAAGCTTTGCAGCAACCAAGAGAACTCGATGACGTCAAGCAGCTGAGCTTCGTCGGCAGGATGCAGCTGATCGGACAGTGCAACAGTCGCACAAATGCCAGAGCTTTT